CTGTACGCGTTATATGGTGGGAGTCAGGAGGGTTGGGCGTGTGTTAGAATCAGCGATTGTCATTTTCGCGTATCTCTTGGATATTGGACTTGATTTCTTATATGAGATTCTTTTCTTGCAATGCACTCCGTCGTCGTTTATCTTATCCGAGGATGCACCGTGTGCCATTCATAAAATGCTCACAACTCGCTGAAACGCATAAAACTAAGATACGTATGGTTCTGCAATGTGGGGAAAAAAATTTCATCGAGTATTTTTTTTCTTCTTGATTTATTTTTTTACGCCTTACAACGATCGAATGTTACAGCATCGCTGCTTGCCAAGATACATTTTTTTTTGCTTTTGGTAAAAGTGACTTTTTTTTCTTTAAGCCGAACTTCAAGTGGTTCTTTAAGTACGTCCGCACAGTTCAATGTGTTTTAACAATGGACCATCTTATGTTATAATAGTACCACCACCCCTTAACAATGGCGGTATTGCTGTTGCTGGATTGAAGTTCGTGCTCCAAACTCTCGTCACTGGAATACAAGAATCTTTCCACATGAGATGCAAAGGGCGACCGTGTAAGGCCCTGCAGCCGGAAAAATAGACCACCATAAAATTCAACTGCCACTTCCACCCCGAGACATTGTTAGCCTTTTAACATCCCGCATTTAGGGTGCCAGTAGAATACCAAGACCCGCAGAACCAAACGTTGCCAGCACCGCAGCAGGAAGACGGCCGAGGGTGGCTGTTTGTTTTTTGTACACCGACTGTACCCTTAGTTTACAATACCCGCTGAACAGGGTTCTTTTAAGAACAGTGAGCATATCGTCTCTCGGAGGGGTATACGAAAAAAAAAAAAAAAAAAATTATAAGCGACATTCAACGACCATCCCTCCTGCCGGACAGACCTCCGGAACTCTATGGAACGGAAGAAATTCCGAAAAGAATCATCCGATCGGTTGGAGGTAAGGAGAGAACGCATCTTAACCCATCCATACAAAATACCCGGTAGCAATTTTGAAACGTTTCCATTTCCCATCCAGCATCCCCATCGCCGGAAGATAAACTCCTATAAAATCTCACTGCCGGTTTAAGAGACCCTTGCCATTCCGTTCCTTTCCGCCAGGATGCTGGCACTTCGTACCACCCATCTACCACCCCTCCTATCTGGCGTGCAACCCCTCGCGAGCTAGACACACGAGGGGGTTGTGGAGCCACGGCGGTACCATGCTCCCTCCGCACCCTACGACCCTAAAGCACTATCGCCTATCTCCTTGATATTGTGATGGTAAAGTCGGTCGAAAGACAGTGGGTAAAAGAGGAGACTCTCTCGAGCGGAGAGTTCTCGTTCTCTTGCGGCGAGAGAAAAGGACGATAGAATGCTGCAGGGGATCCTGCTAGTACCTACCGATGGACCGGTACAGAGGTATTGGAGCCTGGGGGGTATGGGATGACGCGTTATACCAAGCCAGTGGTTGAAATGGGATAGGATAGGACGGGCGGCTAGGGGACCGGATGGGATGGGCTCTGCGATGGGGTAAGGCAAGGTAAGGGTGGTGAGTAACCAAGGCAAAATCACCCCAGACGCTGACGCTCCTGAACCAGTAAAAGTTTAAGCCTCCGTCGTAACTCGCAACCCGTTATGCTTCCACGAGACTGATCATCCCTCGCAAACTGTCGGGGTTGCCGGCTTTATGCGATAGTTACTTTTCTCAGTCGAGAAAGGGTTGCTTCGAGTTGGCACTATGACGCAAGCGACACTGTAAGGGGGGAATGTTGGTAGTCGCTGCCGTTCTACACAATGTACACAGGGATACCCTCAGGACAGGGATGTCTTTACCAGGTTCTGGGCTATCCTTGATAGTTCGCCACTCTTTGGAATTGAACGCTGGGACCTGTGGACGGTGAGGCGAGTAACGTTTGTGCGTTGATTCCGTAGTTACCCACAACGCTGTTCCGTTTCCTTTTATCGTGGCTTCTTGAAAGGACGCCTTTCCTTGAGATTCGCTCTAAGGATTCTAGATGCTGGGGTTTACTTGAAACCCCCTGAAAAGGGGTATCACGTCAGAGCCTCGTGGAGTGAATGGCCTGTGTGCAGTGATAACGGGTATTGTTACTTCTAATTTGAGAGTAAGACGGCCGAGGCTCCGTTTTTCATGGAGGAATCTAATCGGTTAAAAAAATTCCCTAGGACCAATGGACATGGGGGAATATGTTTGAAAATTAATAACGTACTAATGCACTGGGGTTCGTGTACTCTGCAGTGTATTCTGCGTTTACAGTTAGTTACACAGAGCTTAATTTGCTCGTGACTGTTATAAGAGAAAGATGCCGTAGTCGTGAAAGAGATTTAACTCTAGGAAGTTTTGTCGTTTCTGTAGTGGTACTTGTCTGTGGGATTTTCGGGAGATACTGGCGTCTCGTCTTGCTTCTTTTTTTTTTTCATCCTTTTTACCGGCTAGGCGCACGATCGGAATTTCAAAGTCGGCCAAGTGGGGAAAGTACTTTCTTACTCCGTTTCTCCTGCCACCATTTCTCGAAACTCCCTAGACGGCTGGCGCTGCCACAGGATCTTCATCACGGTGCTTGTTACGAATAAGCTCTTAATTCCTTCCAGGACTCTTGACTTCCACTTCTGTCCATTCTGAATCTCCCTCGTTCTCTCTTTTATCGTCTCACTCGATTCACCTTCCTCCTCTCTTTTACACTCCTGACCATTCTGACCCTTCTTACTCTTCCTTGGACTGTCTCGTTCCTCTTCCCCCATCTCCCTTCTCCGTCACTCTTTCTTTCTTTACCTCGTCCGCCTACCGCCACTTTCTCAGCTTCTCTCACTCCTCGTACTCTATCGTATCTTGTTTTGCTCCCATATAAAAGCCGCCGTGGGCTGTATGCCTCCACAGATGTACCTAGCGATGGCTATGACTGTACTTATCCAACAAACAATAGTTACCTCAAAATTTTTTATCTCAATGCCCTTCGTACATATATTTTGATGGGCAAGTTGAAATTTTTAGTCAATAAATTTCTTATTTTTGGTCACTATACACATCTCACGTATCACGAATGCAGCGAAGTTAGGCTATGATCCATGATTCTAAACATTTGTTCTGATTCTAAGTTAAACCAAGAGTTAGTTCGTGTTCGTCACTAGCTCCATACCGTGTCCTCCCTTATAGAGCATAAGTAAAGCGAAGCGGAGGAGCGTGTATCGACCTCTGCCGTAGGTGTGGGTCGAGTAGACGGTCGGATGGCCGAGGGGTAGGGCCAGCACGGCCTGCTTGGTTGCTTGGCTGCTTGCTTGCTAGGCTGGCGACTCCGTGCCGCCTCTGTGCTCGGCGAGCCCTCGAAAAAATCCCCAATGCCAGGGGAAATGGGGGCAGGAGTGGTCTGCGAAAGGGGGAGAGAGACGGGAAGGAGGTACCCCCTCCCTCCCTCCCCCCTCGAGCAAAGCCTGGAAACACAACCACCATTCCGAGCTCCCTAGGCACCTTCAAGCTCTCCTCCATTACGACCACCGACACCCCTTTTCTCTCCTCGACCCCTCTGATAGAGCACAGTATTCCAGTTTGTAGGGGCGCCGTTGAAACTGGCGAACCGTCCTAGAATACCTCACGCGTCTGGCACCGTTCGTACCAGCGAGAATGTCTCTGCGAATCCGTAGGAACTTCCAAGACGAATAAAACTGAACCGGAGACCTTTAACGGCGGGCCCTTTCCAGCCTTCCTGTTCCTAGAATATGGCCTTTGCTATACCTTAGATCACTGGTTATTCATTGAACTTCGTACACGCTTCGATACTTGCTGTAGACGAATACGTCGATAAGGTAGTATTAGGCGCTGGTGATGCGAAGTTTGTTCAAGCAAGGTATATAGTCGCTGATCAGGAATGCTGGGAATGCATCGGGTACGCGACCTCCTAGCGACAGACACTACGTGGTAGATATTCATGGTTGCGAGGAAACTGGCGGTGGGACTGCCGATATCAGCTGATTGGCATGTGGCCAAGGACAGAATTCGGTTCGATTTTATCAAGCTCTTACGTTTATGGCTTAACGCCCTGTAAATGAGACTTTTCAGAAATATGATCTTCCATCAAAAGCTTTAAAAGTCCGTAAATTTATTTAAAAATAAAATTTTACATTTTTCGAAGATATTTCAGTATTCTATTTTCCTATGTAGAGTACTTTTATTTACTAGTTTCTTCTTCTTCGTCTATTCGTCTAAAAGACAGACTTTACTCGTACACACACAAGCTCCTCATTGGTTCGCACGTCAAGGCCGATCGAACTCGGCAACAGCCTCCTTCAGCGGTTACCATTCAACGGTAACAGTCGCCGGTCCACCGTGGTTCACGACGTTTACCGCAATCCATACAAAGGGGGAGATTGATGCAGATGGTCCCCTCTGATTAAACCTTCGGCGCCTGTGTCTCCTGCTTCCCTCTTAACTTCTTTCTCTCTCTCTCTCTCTCTCTCTCTCTCTCTCTCTCTCTCTCTCTACTCCTCGCTCTCTCCTTTCACGTACCAACGTTCCACGTTGTTCTCCTCCTCCGCGAGCCTCCTATCCTCTACCCTGACACCTCCCGACTCCTCATCTGCCCCTAGAGACTCTCAAGTCCCGACGAGGCGAGACAGCCTTCTCGCAGCATGTACGCGTCATCGCCAAGTATAATATTCCCTGGCAGTAGCCTAGCCTGGGATGCCCGGTTCTCATATGTGAGTTCAGCCCAAGACCTGAAGCCTCTGCAACGCGTCTTGGACCAGCGTCCCGATGTTCCATAGGAATTGGTTTCGCCGGTCGTCTCCGTTACCTTCACATACAGACGCACAGTACAGTCGTTAGTACATATTACGTAAGACTACGGTCTGCACGATATAGTCCGTTTGAGCATTTCGCGCGTGCAGATCATTTTCTTAATCATCCGGACGACGATCCGATCATCCACAGATATCGTTGGGACGGTGATCTTGTTTTTTTGATCTATAGAAAAAATATTTGTTCCTTGTCTCTTAGCTCGTTGGAACACACGGCGACTTCACTTAGACGCCACATGTGTCTACTCCTTCGCGTCCTACACCTCCTCGTCTCCTCTCACGCAAAGTAAGCCACAGTCGGTCTGACACAAGAACGAGCGCACACACAGCTCGCCAATAATGGATGCGTTACACGGCTGAGGATTCAGAGAAACACGAACGAAGGGGGCGACATACGAATCTAGGGACGATGTACGCGGACAGACGAATGGGAGACTGTTACACCCAATTGTCCCTCGTTGTGCAGGGGTCAAGTAAGGTAGCCAACCGGGCACGGCAGACACCGTCAGCCGCGCGGAACGAAACATCAGCAGGGCTGCCAAGCTACCGGTTGGGAAGAACGAAGAATCTCAGGGAGCACGGTCGAGAAATAGCATTACGGCGTGGCTACTATTCGAGGAGAATTGACGTGTGCTTTTTGTTGGTACAACTACATTTTGGCTTTACCGTCTGCTAACGAATTTTTCGAAGACTGTGTAAACCCTGACACTCGGTACCCGACGTGTCTTCTCTATTTCACGAAGTAACTGGGCGACGCCCTTGTTTTTTTTTTTTTTTTTCTTTTTTTTTGGGGCGCACACGTGTGAGGTTATCCCGGGTATCGTGACCCCATCAGCATCCCCTCCTTTACCCTACTACTGCCGCCTAATCCTCAATCTTCTTGGTCTCATGCTTCTTCTTCTCCTCCATCTCCTCCACCTCCTACACTTCCTTCTACATGCCACCAACTCATCGGTGCTCTAACCATCTTCTGGCTCTCCTGACGCAACCTGGCTACGTCGCTTTGAGGCCTCGACGCATTCGTACATGATGATGTCACGGGGCCCCTTTTTTCCTGCCCCATTTACACGCACGTCGTAAATGCCAAGCTCTTCATGGTAATACTAATCCTCGTATCACCGAGAAACTCCTTCGATACGCTTATCGGTAGATAAGATCAATCTGAATTATTTATCTATAGTTATCGTCGTAATAAATAACTGCAAGCATGAGCCAGGAAGTATTTCAAAGATACTATAGGAACGTTCCTTAAGTGGCCAACTTCAAGTAGTATCTGTACTCATTGTACGTGATGCTGATAAATCAGTCTGATTCATATGGATTCTCCAGGCATAGAAGGCCCCTACAGTCTAGTAATCTTTTTTTTACTCAGTGCGATCTTCTTCATCCTCTTGATCTTCTCTCAGTCCTCGACTACTTCAATCTCGACCCAGTGACGAAAGAGGATCTTATTAATAAGGTACCAGAAGAGAAGTTCACGAGTGACGCTTCGGTTCCGATAAACAGCACCACGGCTCGTGAGTCTCGGCCGAATGGAAGTCCGATTTATAAATGCCTCCATTTACACCTTCTGCGTTTGATCGGCGCGACCGGATGTGACGCAAGGGAAAGATTCAGGACGCAAGGCTCCGAGGATGTTTCTCGAATGCTAACGCGAGCCAAATAATATTCTAGTTTACCATTGAACGTCATTCACTTTTAGTTGATTTGCGCGTCAATCAGTCACACTGTCGATCGACATTATTGATCTCGCTCGACGCTCTCGATAACCGTGAACTCTGAAAAACTCGAGATCCCAGGGATCACTCTGCATTCATAACAGATACCGTGGCTATGTGTAAACTATACTGCTCTGTCTTCTGGTATCAGTAATACACGGACAGTGCAGCCTGATCAGATTAGATCCCAAGCGGCGTTACCAAAGGCTACGGAAGACCAATGTCCTTGAACGATGATTCCTGGAAGGAGCGAAGTGCCAAGCAAGTGGGTAGGTAGGCAGATCAAAAATTCCTCTTAGCAATCGAGTCGTGATTGAGCTTCGTATTTGGCTGAATTAACGGGAAAAGCGAACCAGTAGGTATTTCGTCTGGCGAAGTAGACGGAATCACCGGTAGCCCACAATCATTTGGCCATTACGCATCCGACCAAACCCGAAGCTAACCAAATAAACCACTCAGTCAGACGGAAGGTCGAGCAATCTTCATAACGGCTCCAATTCAGCCTCTCTTTCCCTACGCGGTTCGCAGCCCACGGCTGGGCACGACCTTCGTTCTCTTTCTATAACGTCCAGGATGGTTACCACGCTTGGGCACTATCCGCAAGGTACCTACTAGACGGCACACCGTTAGCGTCGAATAATCACATAGTCCCATCATAGTACCAAGGACCAGTCAGCATTGTGCTCCATGGTCCTTTCTATCCCCGAGAAACAAAAGACAATCGTCTCTACTCATCTCATCCAGTGGTGGCTCGTAGCCTCCTCAACGGTGATTGGCGGAGACCGTACCACCGGCTACTGGACCCGGTTGACCCCTAACCCCGGCAACTCGTTCGCCTTTATCGTCGGGATTGCTGTGTTGGTGGAGTCGGTATATAACGACTGCTGGTCCAAGCAGCTCGCTTGGGAGCGGAATTCTCTGCTGAGCGACAAACAATTGCCGCCAAGTGGCTTAATTGCTGCCAACTAAACAAATGTTCCACGTTTCTCCCTGGCCCGTTACCCCGATTCCTCCTCCTCCCCCCGCCCCTTCCTCACACGGTGCGAGCTTCGTGTCCGCCATTACTCCAGACAGGTCTGCGATACTCGTCATGGTTATCCTCGCTGTTACGTATCTCTATACTTCACTCTTTCGATAGACCTGGTTCCCACGTTGAGGATCATGCGTGGCACGCGTGGTGATCCAACGTCATTCACGTTCTTATGTACGTACTCTAACGTCGAGAATGAATGGATTGATAGTTTTAAAAAAAATGATTAACTATCCATGCGCTATTTACACGAGTGACCTCGGAGCCCATGCTGATTACGGCGACTGTTTGAAGCCTAAATTCTGAGGGGTCTCGTAATTGGCTCTTTTCTGATGAGAAAGTGAAGAGAGATAAGAGTAACACGGTGGCTGCGATGACTCGTAGGTGTGCGCAACGGAGCGACCGAGTGTACAGTGAGATTCTCATTTATCAGGGGACATCCGCCGGAAGTGGGGCGGCCCGTGCGTAGGTGAGAGAGCCAGTCACCATTCCGATGTGGTTTCCTTGTCACAGGAACCTGGCACCAGTTTTAACCCGGTAGCCCGTGCCGCGGATCGGCATGGCGTTCTATTGTATAATATTATTATATACTTATAGTACTGGGTTTATTAAAAATTTTTTATTTTTTTAAATATTTTCTGCAACGGTTTATGTCGAGGATTGGTGCGATGGTATATATGTAGCTACCCTTCTTAAATATACGCAAGTAAAACACACCGAGTAGACGGAACTATCCAGTCGATAAATTCCATAGGTTATTAGATCCTCAGCCAATTCCTGTACAAGAGATTCGAACGAATCTCGCGCCAAGTATAACGTGCTTATAATTTTCATGAAAATTAGCCATTTCCTGAACAACCTGTGTTTATAATAATGGCTTACGTTTCCATGAGAGAAGTTGACAAACTTTCTTAACACGTTAACGAATCCCGCCTTACGCAAGCGTTACAGGTATAGGCTCTTAGTGCGGATACATTTTGTCTCGCGCGAGATATATCGGGTGATCTTTTTTTATTCGCGGTACCTAGAAATTCTGCATTGCAATTATAGATGGCGCACCATGCTTTTTTCACTCGTTCGCGACACCGAACATTTTTCACCGTTTACGGAAAAACAGGCGCTAGATAAAGTTCACCAGTATCAATTGACCGTACTGGTAGATATAGGTACGCACTGGAATACCAGTCGACCTTCTGAAGTTGCAACACACGATCTGACACAGATAGAGAGGCTGCGCCCATACAACCACAGAGTCGCTTCTTGCGAAATAGCGACCCGTTCTTTTCAACGAGTAAAATCCATTAATTTCATACAGAAACGATACGTTCCTTCATATAGGTTAAAACATCAGGGCATTCATATGATCCACTAGTCGGTCAGATTCCCATAGGGATTGTTCGCCATAACGTCAATAAACTTGTATGACCAACAGCAGACGTACCGAGTGTACATGGAAAAAATGCAATATAACGTTTAACGCCACATTTTGGTATATCTGTTTCAGGAGAATATTTCTACACCGGAACCAGCCGATATATCAGAAGACGACCACTACTCAAGTGAGCACATTTATAGATACTAAAAACCTCATGCGCAAATCGTTACCTAGATAAGATAAGATAACGCACATGTCAGCCCATAATTTCGAAGCGATCAAATTTTCCCAACAAGGCCGTCGTTCGGTATATATTTTTTTTTTTTCAAAAAAATTTATTTTCTCAACACGCTGCTCATCTCGATATCACAGCATCTATCTTACCGACCGTGCTGCGAATTTTACCGACCGCAGATTCAAGGCTGCCATTACCGCGAATCGTTTCGTGTGCGATTTATGTGTTGTTTCCTCATTTTTCCCTTTTATTTATAAATCGACCCGTCAGTCAGGGCCAATCTAATGCGCATTCCATATTCATGGTATTAGGCATTCGCTTGTGGTAAAATCAAGCGACGTTTTATACAGCCGAATATACACGTAACGTGAAGCATACTTTGTGATGTGTATATATGTATATTTGCAGATATTGGAACGTACTTGTGCATTTCAAAGAGAATCACCAAACAACAACTTGTCCGGTACACGTACTACACGCATTAACGATACGTGCGTGGTCGTGGTGCGGTATACAGAAATCCATACGCACATCGTACGGGAAGCCATTTTCATTCGCAAATCGCGCTCCTACCGGTTTTCAGGCGAATCAAATGCCAATGGGCGACCTGCGGGGCTTGACCTATGAGCAGTGACGTAAGCCCGTCCGGTAGCAATGATTTAATAATTAATTAATCGTTATTATGCCGCGGTACGGACATGCCTCGCCACCAGGGCTTACGCGCGTATGCCCGTCACACTAATTTCACTAATTTGGTTTTGATCCGTTCGCATTTATGATCGGGGCAAACCGCGGACCCCGCTAATTGGCATAATTTAATGATTTGGATATATTGAATGCGCTTATTTCTGTAGGAGCGGACTGATCTGTGCGACAATCAGATGTTACACGGTGAAGCCCGAGGTCTATTGTGGAGACCACGAGAATTTGGGGTTGCAATGGTTAATAGTTTTTGAAAATCGCGTAAAGTCGAGATTGCCAGTAAAAAATTTGCTTTGATCTTGAATAAAAAAAAAAAATAAAAATTGTATATGTATCCGTATAGATTTTTTTTTTATATTACAAACCAGTAATGTGTACAATGCGGTGATTCAATTATTACGAGATGTTGTCGAGTCACGAAATTCGTCGCGTCTCTTTGATTTTTCGACTGTTTCTGGACCGCGTGGGCCGAGGACGTCGTTGCCTTCTTTTCTCTTTTCATAATGAAATGACGCACAGTTTGCAAGTAATTTATGAAAAATAATCGGCGGGACTCTTTGAAGAATAATCGCGAGCGTGGCTGTCCTCTATTATCGTGACGTTCACGAGGCGCACGAGACTCTCGCGAGAGATTTACGAGTCGGGTATAAGTTTAATCGTTCGCGGCAATCTCTTGCGTACGGGACTTGAATCTTATGCGCATGCGCGATTTTCGCTCCTCCCCTCCTTTTCACCCCTTATTCCTCTCCTAAATGCTCTCCCACTCTCCTCCCTTAGTCCTGTAATTACCTATCTCAATTGATTGCCAAAGTATCCTCCTTGCAAATTGCCACAATGAATAGAGACTTCAAGAAAGTTACTATGATTCTGGCGTATAGACGAAAATTTATGCGAAATCGATTATATAAATAGTAAGGTTGAAAAAATTCGAATTTTCGAAAATAATTTTTTTTGCGAACTGCGATCGTATCGGCGAAAGACTTTTTTTTTTATAAGATAAGCGATACCGCAGGATCCCCATTTTCTCGATAACGATAAGTAAGCGCACGAAGAGATATCGATTCTCGAAAAGTAGGCGAGTCTCCAAAACCAACGACAGTTGTCATCCTGAAAACCAATTGGCTCTTTTAATTTCGGCAGGCGCGCTCATGAAAGACGCGGATAAGCTGAAGCTGATGCTGCTCGCGTGGAATTATAACCTTCAACAGCAGGCTCAGGCTCAGGCACAGGCGCAGGCTGCCACGGCCGCCCTCTCGCCAAATAACTCCTCGACAACCACAGCCACCACCATTGGCACACCTGTCACCAGCCAATCGGCCATTTCCACGGCAAACAACACCATTAACAACTCCACACTTACAGGTAACACCTTATTTCTCGGGTCAGTTATAAAACAGGGATCTTCGTTATTATATCGGTTTTACCCTATACGCACGTAATACGGGAACCGCTGAGCATTCCATTTATCAAGATTTCTTTTTCTCTCATGTTCGTTCCCGCCTGTGTTCTCGCGTTATACTCTCTCACCTTTATCATGCTATGTTCGACAGTTACCATTTTTGTCCCCTTAAGACGATTCTTCAACGATACGGTAACGTCGTAGTTTTTGGGCTTGTTTGGGGTTGACGCAGGTTGCTCAGCGATACCGTTGTCGCCTGCAAGAAGATGCAGTCGTTTTCAGGTCGTAAAGTCTATCGTCAACGGAAGGGTGACTAATGGGTCTCAACGCGTCGGATACTTATGGGGTTGAAAGGGAGATTCGGAATATATCTTTTGGTGAGTGATGACAGGGTGGGAGTAGATACCCGGGCTAGGGTAGAAGCGTGCTAAATCCATCTCGACCTCTATATATGTATATACATCGCATAGACCCAGTGAGTCAAGTAAGGGGAGGAGGGAGCGTTGGGGATTGAATGACGCGTTAGGGGATGAAAGAATACCTCAATCAGTACAGTTGGATGAGAGGATAGGGTAGGATACTGTAAGGAAATAAGGGTTGGTGCACATTTGCAGCCCGTATATTTGACTACCCACTGTGATCACTCTGAATCACTATTTGAATTGTTTGCAAGGCGTCCCAATGATCTTATAATGTAATTGATCCTATTATTGCGTATTATCGATTGGAACAAATTTTCACACTGTAAATAGATTCTCGAGTATCTTTTTTTTTCATTGCTGTGAATAGGTGCAGCAATGGGAACACTAGCGAATGACTCTTCGAGTGACCTTGATCAAGATCCCACGGGAGTAGCGTGACGTCATTAGAAAAAGAAGTGACAAGTCTTTAGCCTTTCTTGCTTCTCAGTTGAATCGTCAGACGAGCCCCTTAACTTCATCTCGACTGGTTCGGCAAATGGGCCGTAACTCTCGTAGCCTCACGTCCTGCCAGGAGACACCATAAAGTCGACGGATAATATTTCCCATAATTCAATTTCACGGTTGGGCGTCACTCTAGCGATTCGTCTTCTTTGGGAGTTTTATCAATGGATATGCCACGTGAATTATTGTCAGAGCAATTCGATCGGACGAATTGCTCCTTTGTATAAACTGTCCGAAAAGGATTCGGTAATTACGAACGCGATCTTTATATCTCTATGCTATGTCAATTCCGAGGGGGACGCCGAGCTACTTCGATTAGGTAACCGTAAGAAAGATAATGATTTCGCTTCGTGTCGTTACACGCAATTTATTCCTATACCATCATCTTGGTATCTTTGTATATACGCAGAGCTCCGGCGATATTGATAGCATTCGAAACTGGTTTTGCTGTCCACTGGAACCCCTGTCATTGCGTAATCAAGCATCTTCTCCGAGAAATACCACACATGACGCCTTTCTAAGCTCCTCGCGATCCGGACTCCTTGATCCAATATACTAGATCTTACAACAGATCAATTTATCTTCAGGCGGTATACGCACTATCATTCAGTACTCTGTGCAGGTTGATCCAAGATATCAGGTATGTCCTCAGACTGGATCGTAATAGTACTGTATAGTTCAATGAGAAAATTCAATAGTACGGTCTCAATGACTTTTTTTTTGTTATTCGCATGTAAATTCAGTGCTTCGATAAGAGGAACAGACGAAGTAAAAAAAATATATATATATACATAAAGGAAGAATTTCCTTGTTTGCGGTGAGGTTGGCTGCGGCCGGAGAACAGTTTCCTTTGCGGGAAGAGTCTGAAAGAACGGAGAGGATGAAGTAGCACTGGGTGGGGCATGCTGGTAGCTGATTTCAGGTTCAACTCGACCAGCCACGGGATTGGGATTGGTAACCGGCTTTCTAGCCGGATAGCTTGTACACGTTATATCCTACCTCCTTTATTCCTTTGCTCCTTTCCTCGTTTAGCGATACACCTCCATTCGCTTGCCGGAGGCCAGGTACCCTAGATGCGAGGTATCGTACCTACCTACCTTCACGTATGTAGGTAGGTGTGCACTGGGAGAAGGTGCAGCCAGTTTCAGGGCCGCTGGTTCTTAGGTAGGTAGACAGGTAGAGGTAGGTACCCGACACCTTGGTAAAAGCTGTGGATTCTGTTTTTATTTCCCCCCACCCTTTTTTTTAATAGGCGAACTGTCAAAGCCTTCATTTCAAAAGGTGATGGGTTATCTTTCTTCCTTCCTCTTTTTTGTCTTGTCGATAGAAATATTTTTCTATGCAGGTTAGGTGACGATGATGTCCACGAGAACGACCACCAGTCACGATTTCAAGCTTCATCGCCGAACTCAAGGGGTTCCAATTAAATTCTGTATGCCGTGACGGAGCGTGCTTCGTCACGTAACGGTCACGTAACGTCACCAGGAGTGACGGCGAGTACTCTTGGTCCTGACCCCTTCGGCTTCTCTCTCAGGAATGGGAGAGAGATTGATACAGACAGAGAGATAGAGGGAGATAGAGAGACAGAGAACTCAGCTATGAAGTACTGTATAGCTGCTTTCTCAGATAGTTGTTATAGCTGTCAGGTAGAATAGTTGGTAACTTTAATCTGTGCCCCGACACTCTGTGTAGTTAGGGTCTATGGTTCTGAGGAATTCCAAAATCCATTTCTGAAGACACTTTTTAAGGGGGAATATGATTTTTTTTTTCTTGCATCCTATTACAACTAGGAAGTTCATTGGATCGTTTAAAGCAATGAACAGTATCGCTATTCAAACCTCCGGCTTCAATTGGTATGGTATTGTATACGAAATAATACCTTAGGATCTCTCGACTACCCCTAATCAGTTGCGTCACGCGAACCCGAACGTGCACCATGTTTATCATTATTATGTATAGCATAAATACCACCCACGTGTCTCGCCGCGAAGGTTATTGATTTCGGAAAGACGTTCACGGCGTAGCAAGGAAAAGTGTCCTCTTTCCATGATGTTGTGGTATACATTGATTACGTGCAAACGTAGTCTGAGTACCGGCGTCTAAAAAAAAAAGTAAAAAAAAAATAAATCCTAAAAAGTATCCCCTCGTTGATTACAGCACAGGACAGGTATTATTATAGATTGAAAAAAAAATGTTTACAACATTCGTAAAACCAAATAGAGCCTCCCAACGTCCTCTGGCTAATGGCAAAATCTTTGGTCGTTCTGTTTCCAGACTCGCGAAACGGCACGTCGGAATTGGGCGATCTGGCGTCGGGAACGGTTCCAAGTCTGGGAAGCGTCGCTGGCGTCGGAAGCGAAGACATGGCCTCCTTGTGGGCGTCTTACGCTATGGGTCTGAAAAAAACACCACCCCCAGCACCCTCGGGTACGCCGTCTCGTTCCGATCGGGATCGAGAGTCCAGCCCTGCTGGTGGTGAAGGTACAGGAAGTGCTCACGACGAGACGAGTAGCAGTGGAAATAAAGAGGACGAGGATGACGATGACGAGGATGCGGACGAGAGGCTCGACCCCAGACATCACGATCCTGAGCGTCTAAAAGCATTCAATGTGAGTATCCTAATAGAAAAAAAAAAGCAAAAATTGAATAAATAACGTCTCCATAAATCCATCGTGTGATAATTCATTCGATCACGATATCCGGTATAGTCATTGAGTCCTGATCATACGTAACGGATCGCATTCCCGTATTAAGTGGGAGGAAGAAAGAAAATAAGAAAAAGGGCTAGAGAAAACCTGGCTACCTTCTCACGTAACAAAGGACCAATTACGTTGGAGTAGCGTAAAACAGTAAAGCGGCAAGAAGCGCCGGTCCCTCTTATCCACCCCCCCACCCCCCACCCTCCCT